GAGGGCGAGGGAGGGAGAGATGGAGGCTGAGGGCGAGGGAGGGAGAGATGGAGGCTGAGGGCGAGGGAGTGAGAGATGGAGGCTGAGGGCGAGGGAGTGAGAGATGGAGCTGAGGCGAGGGAGGAGAATGGAGCTGAGGGCGAGGGAGTGAGAGATGGAGGCTGAGGGCGAGGGAGGGAGAGATGGAGGCTGAGGGCGAGGGGGAGAGGGAGGCTGAGGGCGAGGGAGTGAGAGATGGAGGCTGAGGGCGAGGGAGTGAGAGATGGAGGCTGAGGGCGAGGAGGAGAGATGAGGCTGAGGGGAGGAGGAGAATGGAGGCTAGGCGGGGTGAGAGAGGGCGCTGAGGGTGAGGAGGAGAGATGGAGGCTGAGGGCGAGGGAGTGAGAGATGGAGGCTGAGGGCGAGGGAGGAGAGATGGAGGCTGAGGTGGAGGGAGTGAGAGATGGAGGCTGAGGCGTGAGGGAGGGAGAGATGGAGGCTGAGGGGAGGGAGTGAGAGATGGAGTGAGGTGAGGGGAGGAGATGAGCGAGGGAGGGAGGAGAGATGGAGGCTGAGGGCGAGGAGGGAGAGATGGAGGCTGAGGGGAGGGGAGTGAGAGATGGAGGCTGAGGGTGAGGGAGTGAGAGATGGAGGCTGAGGGCGAGGGAGTGAGAGGATGGGGGCTGAGGGGGATGAGGGAGGGAGAGAGATGGAGGCTGAGGGCGAGGGAGGGAGAGATGGAGGCTGAGGGCGAGGGAGTGAGAGATGGAGGGCTGAGGGTGAGGGAGTGAGAGAAGGAGGCTGAGGGCGAGGGAGGGAGAGATGGAGGCTGAGGGCGAGGGAGGGAGAGATGGAGGTGAGGGCTGAGGGGAGGGAAGTGAGAGTGGAGGGGGCTGAGGGCGAGGGAGGAGAGATGGAGGCTGAGGGGAGGGAGTGAGAGATGGAGGCTGAGGGTGGGGAGTGAGAGATGGAGGCTGGGCTGAGGGGAGATGGGGAGGGGAGAGATGGAGGCTGAGGGGAGGGAGTGAGAGATGGAGGCTGAGGGCGAGGGAGTGAGAGATGGAGGCTGAGGGTGAGGGAGTGAGAGATGGAGGCTGGGTGAGGGAAGTGAGAGATGGAGGCTGAAGGTGAGGAGTGAGGGAGGGGTGAGGAGATGGAGGTGGGGCTGAGGGGGAGGTGAGAGATGGAGGCTGAGGGTGAGGGAGTGAGAGATGGAGGCTGAGGGGTGAGGGGAGTGAGAGATGGAGGCTGAGGGTGAGGGAGTGAGAGATGGAGGCTGAGGGGCGAGGAGGGAGAGATGGAGGCTGAGGTGAGGGAGTAGGTGGAGGCTGAGGGGGAGGAGGATGGAGGCTGAGGGTGAGGGAGTGAGAGATGGAGGCTGAGGGTGAGGGAGTGAGAGATGGAGGCTGAGGGTGAGGGAGTGAGAGATGGAGGCTGAGGGTGAGGGAGTGAGAGATGGAGGCTGAGGGTGAGGGAGGTGAGAGATGGAGGCTGAGGGTGAGGGAGTGAGAGAATGGAGGCTGAGGTGAGGGAGTGAGAGATGGAGGCTGAGGGGAGGGAGTGAGAGATGGAGGCTGAGGGTGAGGGGAGGGATGAGAGATGGAGGCTGAGGGCGTGAGGGGAGTAGATGAGATGGAGGCTGAGGGTGAGGGAGTGAGAGATGGAGGCTGAGGGCGAGGGAGGTGAGAGATGGAGGCTGAGGGTGAGGGAGGAGAGATGGAGGTGAGGGTGAGGGAGTGAGAGATGGAGGCTGAGGGTGAGGGAGTGAGAGATGGAGGCTGAGGGCGGGAGTAGAGATGGAGGCTGAGGGCGAGGGAGTGAGAGATGGAGGCTGAGGGTGAGGGAGTGAGAGATGGAGGCTGAGGGGAGGGAGTGAGAGATGGAGGCTGAGGGTGAGGGAGTGAGGAGATGGAGGCTGAGGGTGGGGGAGTGAGGGGATGGAGGCTGAGGGTGAGGGAGTGAGAGATGGAGGCTGAGGGCGAGGGAGTGAGAGATGGGGCTGAGGGTGAGGGGAGTGAGGTGGAGGTGAGGGGGTGAGGGAGTGAGAGATGGAGGCTGAGGGTGAGGGAGTGAGAGATGGAGGCTGAGGGTGAGGGAGTGAGAGATGGAGGCTGAGGGCGAGGGAGTGAAGAGATGGAGGCTGAGGGTGAGGGAGTGAGAGATGGAGGTGAGGGTGAGGGAGTGAGAGATGGAGGCTGAGGGTGAGGGAGTGAGAGATGGAGGCTGAGGGTGAGGAGTAAGAGATGGAGGCTGAGGGTGAGGGAGTGAGAGATGGAGGCTGAGGGGAGGGAGTGAGAGATGGAGGCTGAGGGCGAGGGAGTGAGAGATGGAGGCTGAGGGTGAGGGAGTAGAGATGGAGGCTGAGGGCGAGGGAGTGAGAGAGGGAGGCTGAGGGTGAGGGGTGAGAGAGTGGAGGCTGAGGGGAGGGAGTGAGAGATGGAGGTGAGGGAGGTGAGGGTGGAGGGAGGGGGAGAGATGGAGGATGGAGGGGGAGGGAGTGAGAGATGGAGGCTGAGGGGGGGGGGGTGAGGGAGGTGGGAAGAGATGGAGGCTGAGGGCGAGGGAGTGAGAGATGGAGGCTGAGGGTGAGGGAGTGAGAGATGGAGGCTGAGGGTGAGGGAGTGAGAGATGGAGGCTGAGGGTGAGGGAGTGAGAGATGGAGGCTGAGGGTGAGGGGGGAGAGTGAGAGGATGGGGAGGCTGAGGGTGAGGGAGTGAGAGATGGAGGCTGAGGGTGAGGGGTAAGTGAGAGGAGGGAGCTGAGGGTGAGGGAGTGAGAGATGGAGGCTGAGGGTGAGGGAGTGAGAGATGGAGGCTGAGGGTGAGGGAGTGAGAGATGGAGGCTGAGGGCGAGGGAGTGAGAGATGGAGGCTGAGGGTGAGGGAGTGAGAGATGGAGGCTGAGGGTGAGGGAGTGAGAGATGGAGGCTGAGGGCGAGGGAGTGAGAGATGGAGGCTGAGGGTGAGGGAGTGAGAGATGGAGGCTGAGGGTGAGGGAGTGAGAGATGGAGGCTGAGGGTGAGGGAGTGAGAGATGGAGGCTGAGGGTGAGGGAGTGAGAGATGGAGGCTGAGGGTGAGGGAGTGAGAGATGGAGGCTGAGGGTGAGGGAGTGAGAGATGGAGGCTGAGGGTGAGGGTAGTGAGAGATGGAGGCTGAGGGTGAGGGAGTGAGAGATGGAGGCTGAGGGTGAGGGAGTGAGAGATGGAGGCTGAGCGGCGAGGGAGTGAGAGATGGAGGCTGAGGGTGAGGGAGTGAGAGATGGAGGCTGAGGGTGAGGGAGTGAGAGATGGAGGTGAGGGGCGGAGGAGTGAGAGATGGAGGTGAGGGCGAGGGAGTGAGAGATGGAGGCTGAGGGCCGAGGGAGTGGAGAGATGGAGGACTGAGGGTGAGGGAGTGAGAGATGGAGGCTGAGTAGACTGAGGGAGAAGGATGGAGGCTGAGGGTGAGGGAGTGAGAGATGGAGGCTGAGGGTGAGGGGAGTGGAGAGATGGAGGCTGAGGGGTGAGGGAGTGAGAGATGGAGGCTGAGGGGAGGGAGTGAGAGATGGAGGCTGAGGGTGAGGGAGTAAGAGAGAGGAGGCTGAGGGTGAGGGAGTGAGAGATGGAGGCTGAGGGTGAGGGAGTGAGAGATGGAGCTGAGGGCGAGGGAGTGAGAGATGGAGGCTGAGGGGAGGAAGTGAGAGATGGGGCTGACGGGAGGGAAGTGAAAGATGGAGGCTGAGGGTGAGGAAGTGAGAGATGGAGGCTGAGTGGCGAGGGAGTGAGAGATGGAGGCTGAGGGCGAGGGAAGTGAGAGATGGAGAGCTGAGGGCGAGGGAGTGAGAGATGGAAGGCGAGGCGAGGGAGTGTGAGAGATGACGCTGACGAACAAGGAGTGAGAGGAGTGGAGGTGAGGGAGGTAAGAGACGACACGAAGGAGTGGAAGATAGAGTACGAACAAGGAGTAGGAGATAGAAGCTACGAAAAGGGAGGGAAGATAAAGCTACGAGAAGGGAGTGGAGGATACAAGCTACGAACAGGGAGTGGAAAATACAAGCTACGAACAGGGAGTGGAAGATACAAGTACGAACAAGGGAGTGGAAATGTACAAGCTACGAACAGGGATGGAAGATACAAGCTACGAACAAGGGAGTGGAAGATACAAGCTACGAACAAGGGAGTGGAAGATACAAGCTACGAACAAGGGAGTGGAGATAGTCAAGCTACGAACAAGGGAGTGGAAGATACAAGCTACGAACAAGGGAGTGGAAGATACAAGCTACGAACAAGGGAGTGGAAGATACAAGCTACGAACAAGGGAGTGGAAGATACAAGCTACGAACAAGGGAGTGGAAGATACAAGCTACGAACAAGGGAGTGGAAGATACAAGCTACGAACAAGGGAGGGAAGATACAGCTACGAACAGAGGGAAATGGAAGATACAAGCTACGAACAAGGGAGATGGAAGATACAAGCTACGAACAAGGGAGTGGAAGATACAGCTTCGAACAAGGGAGTGGAAGATACAAGCTACGAACAAGGGGAGTGGAAGATACAAGCTACGAACAAGGGAGTGGAAGGATACAAGCTAAAGAACAAGGGATGGAAGATACAAGCTACGAAACAAGGGAGTGGAAAGATACAAGCTACGAACAAGGGAACGGAAGTACAAGCTACGAACAAGGGAGTGGAAGATACAAGCTACGAACAAGGACGGAAGAGATACAAGCTACGAACAAGGGAGTGGAAGATACAAGCTACGAACAGGGAGTGGAAGATACAAGCTACGAACAAGGGAGTGGAAGATACAAGCTACGAACAAGGGAATGGAAGATACAAACTACGAACAAGGGAGTGGAAGATACAAGCTACGAACAAGGGAGTGGAAGATACAAGCTACGAACAAGGGAGTGGAAGGTACAAGCTACGAACAAGGGAACGGAAGATAAAGACTCACGCCGAGCAGGTCTCGGCAACAGGTAACTAGAAAGATGGAAATTACGTAGGTGAAGGGGCGCTAGGAGCATCAGTAGGGGAACTCACCTGAGGGGGTCGAGAGCAGTGGGCAGGTAGGGGAAGCTGTAGGGGTAGCCATCCTTCTTCAGGGTCTTGGGCTTCCTACGAGGGCGGTACTTGTAGTCAGGGTAGTCCCTCATGTGTTGTGCCCTGACCCGGAAGATACACAATAATAATAATAATAATAATAATAATAATAATAATAATAATAATAATAATAATAATAATAATTATAATAATATTTACTACTAGCTGCTGCTGCTGCTGCTACGGTAGCCCTTGGCCTGGTGGCAAAGCTCTTGCTTCACACGCTGAGAACCTAAGTTCGATTCCCGGCAAGGGAATATTGGGCGTGTTTCCTTACACCGGTTGTCCATGTTCACCCATCAGTAAAATGGTTACCTGGCTGTTAGTCGACTGGTGTGGGTCGCATCCTGGGACAAAATTGACCCAGGATGCGACCGAAATGCTCAGCATAACAAGTGGGTTTCTATATAGTAGCATGTGACTGATGTCAGCTGGGACTGTACATGGACCTTGTACATGTACTTGTAGTAAATTAAGATACATTATTAATATTAATACTGCCACTGGTATTACTACCACTAGTGGTACTACTACTACTACTAGTACCACTTTTACTACCATTTCTTGTACTACTACTATTACTACTACTACTACTACTACTAATAATAATTATAATGCAAAATTATTCATATCGGGGAGAAGCGCCACACCCGTAAGGGTCCTACAGCTCCTAGGGGAGAATAGAAGGTAATTAGGTTTGATCCAAGGAAAGAGGGGAAGTATGGCTCCACTTCCTTGGATAAAGAGGCCTCCCCAGCATAAATTCACCTCACTTGAAGAGCCACGTTAGAAACATCCATTTATTGAGAATATATAAGATTACTATTTTTTATTATGATTATAATTATTATTAATTTTATTATTAATTGTATTATTATTATTGCTCTTCTTCTTTTTCTTCTTTTTCTTCTTCTTCTTCTTTTTATTATTATTATTTTCATTATTATTATTATTATCATTTATTTATTTATTTTATTATTATTATTATTATTATTATTATTTATTAATTTTTTTATTATTATTAATTTTATTATTATTTATTACAAACACAGGTGATTTCTGGTGGTGGTGTTTCACCAACTTGTAACTAAGACAGTAAACAGTCAGTGGAAGGCGACAGCAAAACACATCAGAGATCATTTATTAATCTTCACTAAATAATACACGGATAATTACACTATGAGGAGAGAATATTTACAAGATGGTATCAGCAAGCAAGAGACGCGGTGAGAACCGTCTTGGACCAGAGGAGAGGGTAGGAAGGAAGCAAGAGACGCGGTGAGAACCGTCTTGGACCAGAGGAGAGGGTAGGAAGGAAGCAAGAGACGCGGTGAGAACCGTCTTGGACCAGAGGAGAGGGTAGGAAGGAAGCAAGAGACGCGGTGAGAACCGTCTTGGACCAGAGGAGAGGGTAGGAAGGAAGCAAGAGACGCGGTGGAGAACCGTTTTGGACAAGAGGAGAGGGTAGGAAGGAAGCAAGAAGGGACACGGTGGAGAAACCGTCTTGAACCAGAGGAGAGGGTAGGAAGGAAGCAAGAGACACGGTGAGAACCGTCTTGGACCAGACGAGAGGGTAGGAAGGAAGTAAGAGACGCGGTGAGAACCGTCTTGGACAAGAGGAGAGGGTAGGAAGAAAGCAAGAGACGCGGTGAGAACCGTCTTGAACCAGAGGAGAGGGTAGGAAGGAAGCAAGAGACGCGGTGAGAACCGTCTTGGACCAGAGGAGAGGGTAGGAAGGAAGCAAAAGACGAGGTGAGAACCGTTTTGAACCAGAGGAGAGGGTAGGAAGAAAGCAAGAGACGCGGTGAGAACCGTTTTGAACCAGAGGAGAGGGAAGGAAGGAAGCAAGAGACGCGATGAGAACCGTCTTGGACAATAGGAGAGGGTAGGAAGGAAGCAAGAGACGCGGTGAGAACCGTTTTGAACCAGAGGAGAGGGAAGGAAGGAAGCAAGAGACGCGGTGAGAACCGTCTTGATCCAGAGGAGAGGGTAGGAAGGAAGCAAGAGACGCGGTGAGAACCGTTTTGGACCAGAGGAGAGGGTAGAAAGGAAGCAAGAGACAGGAGAGAACCGTTTTGGACCAGAGGAGAGGGTAGGAAGGAAGCAAGAGACGCGGTGAGAACCGTTTTGGACCAGATGAGAGGGTAGGAAAAGGGAAACAAGGACGCGGGAAGAACCCTCTTGAACCAGGGGAGAGGGAAGGAAGGAAGCAAGAGAAGCAGTGAGAACCGTCTTCAACCAGAGGAGAGGGAAGGAAAGAAGCAAGAGACGCGGTGAGAACCGTCTTGAACCAGAGGAGAGGGTAGAAAGGAAGAAAGAGACGCGGTGAGAACCGTTTTGGACCAGATGAGAGGGTAGGAAGGAAGCAAGAGACGCGGGAAGAACCGTCTTGAACCATAGGAGAGGGAAGGAAGGAAGCAAGAGAAGCAGTGAGAACCGTCTTCAACCAGAGGAGAGGGAAGGAAAGAAGCAAGAGACGCGGTGAGAACCGTCTTGAACCAGAGGAGAGGGTAGGAAGGAAGCCTGCCGTCTCGTCTGCTCCAAGAGTTGAAGGCGTCGCTTCACGGAATACTCGGCTTTTTCTAGTGACTGACTGATGAAACGGCAATTAGCGTAGTAGTGGGACCCCCGGCTGCTATACTCTTAACTGCTGGTTCACTGGTCAGGAGGACATGCCTACATTTGGAGGACATGCCTACATGAGGAGGGCATGCCTACCTGGGGAGGGCATGCTTACATGGGGAGGGCATGCCTACATGGGGAGGGCATGCCTACCTGGGGAGGGCATGCCTACCTGGGGAAGAATTGCATAAATGGGGAGTTCATGCCTACATGGGGAGGACATGCCTACATGGGGAGGACATGCCTACATGGGGAGGACAAGCCTACATAAGGAGGACAAACCTACATGGGGAGGACAAGCCTACATGGGGAGGACAAGCCTACATGGGGAGGACAAGCCTACATGGGGAGGACAAGCCTACATGGGGAGGACAAGCCTACATGGGGAGGACAAGCCTACATGGGGAGGACAAGCCTACATGGGGAGGACAAGCCTACATGGGGAGGACAAGCCTACATGGGGAGGACAAGCCTACATGGGGAGGACAAGCCTACATGGGGAGGACAAGCCTACATGGGGAGGACAAACCTACATGGGGAGGACAAACCTACATGGGGAGGACAAACCTTACATGGGGAGGACAAGCCTACATGGGGATGACAAGCCTACATGGGGAGGACAAGCCTACATGGGGAGGACAAGCCTACATGGGGAGGACAAACCTACATGGGGAGGACAAGACCTACATTGGGGAGGACAAGCCTACATGGGGAGGACAAGCCTACATGGGGAGGACAAGCCTACATGGGAGGATAAACCTACATGGGGAGGACAAGCCTACATGGGGAGGACAAGCCTACATGGGGAGGACAAGCCTACATGGGGGACAAGCCTACATGGGAGGACAAGCCTACATGGGGAGGACAAGCCTACATGGGGAGGACAAGCCTACATGGGGAGGACAAGCCTACATGGGGAGGACAAGCCTACATGGGGAGGACAAGCCTACATGGGGAGGACAAGCCTACATGGGGAGGACAAGCCTACATGGGGAGGAGATGCCTACATGGGGAGGAGATGCCTACATGGGGAGGAGATGCTTACATTCGCGTGTAACAAACATCAATTAAATTGTAAGTTACTCTTCGCATGTCACAATATTATTATTATTATTATTATTATTATTATTATTATTATTATTATTATTATTATTATTATTATTATTATTATTATTATTATTATTATTATTATTACATAAAACTCTAAATAAATGAGAACAATCACCGCAAGGATTCACGGAGGCTCCACACTCCGTCCTCCTAGCCACCTAGTGCTAGTGAAGGCTCCACAACTCCGTCCTACTAGCCACCTAGTGCTAGTGAAGGCTCCACACTCCGTCCTCCTAGCCACCTAATGCTAGTGAAGGCTCCACACTCCGTCCTCCTAGCCACCTAGTGCTAGTGGAGGCTCCACACTCCGTCCTCCTAGCCACCTAGTGCTAGTGAAGGCTCCACACTCCGTCCTCCTAGCCACCTAATGCTAGTGAAGGCTCCACACTCCGTCCTACTAGCCACCTAGTGCTAGCGGAGGCTCCACACTCCGTCCTCCTAGCCACCTAGTGCCAGCGGAGGCTCCACACTCCGTCCTCCAAGCCACCTAGTGCTAGTGGAGGCTCCACACTCCGTCATCCTAGCCAACTAGTGCTAGCGGAGGCTCCACGCTCCGTCCTCCTAGCCACCTAATGCAAACGGAGGCTCCACACTCCGTCCTGCTAGCCGCCTAGTGCTAGTGGAGGCTCCACGCTCCGTCCTCCTAGCCACCTAGTGCTAGTGGAGGCTCCACACTCCGTCCTCCTAGCCACCTAGTGCTAGCGGATGCTCCACACTCCGTCCTCCTAGCCACCTAGTGCTAGCGGAGGCTCCACACTCCGTCCTCCTAGCCACCTAGTGCTAGCGGAGGCTCCACACTCCGTCCTCCTAGCCACCTAGTGCCAGCGGAGGCTCCACACTCTGTCCTCCTAGCCACCTACTGCTAGCGGAGGCTCCACACTCCGTCCTCCTAGCCACCTAGTGCTAGCGGAGGCTCCACACTTCGTCCTCCAAGCCACCTAGTGCTAGCGTTGGCTCCACATTCCGTCCTCCTAGCCACCTAGTGCTAGCGGAGGCTCCACACTCCGTTTGCCTAGCCAACTAGTGCCAGCGGAGGCTCCACACTCCGTCCTCCTAGCCACCTAGTGGTAGCGGAGGCTCCGCAGTCCGTTCCTCTAGCCACCTAGTGCTAGCGGAGGCTCCACACTCCGTCCCCCCTAGCCACCTAGTGCTAGCGAGGCTCCACACTCCGTCCTCCTAGCAACTAGTGCTAGTGGGGGCTCCACACTTCTTCTCCTAGCCACCTATTGCTAGTGGAGGCTCCACACTCGTTTCCCCCTAGCCACCTAGTGCTAGTGGAGGGGTCCACACTTCGTCCTCCTAGCCCCTAGTGCTAGCGGAGGCTCCACACT